CAGCAGAGATGGACTCTAACTCCCAGAATTCCCCAGCCAGCCGAGAGGGACTCTGACTCCCAGAATTCCCCAGCCAGGAGAGAGGGACTCTGACTCCCATAATTCCCCAGCCAGCAGAGATGGACTCTAACTCCCAGAATTCCCCAGCCAGGAGAGAGGGACTCTGACTCCCAGAATTCTCCAGGCAGCAGAGATGGACTCTAACTCCCAGAATTCCCCAGCCAGCAGAGATGGACTGACTCCCAGAATTCCCCAGCCAGCAGAGATGGACTGACTCCCAGAATTCCCCAGCCAGCAGAGATGGACTCTAACTCCCAGAATTCCCCAGCCAGCAGAGATGGACTGACTCCCAGAATTCCCCAGCCAGCAGAGATGGACTGACTCCCAGAATTCCCCAGCCAGCAGAGATGGACTCTAACTCCCAGAATTCCCCAGCCAGCCGAGAGGGACTCTGACTCCCAGAATTCTCCCGGCAGCGTGCTGGTTGGGGAATTCTGGGAATTGAAGTCCACCCTTCTTCAAGTGGGCAAGGTTGAGGAACACTGTCTTAGATGGGAGTGTTTCCAGCCACTTCATCTCATAAAGACACACACGCATGCTCACACACAGACACACATACCGCAACCTCACGCCTGGCACCTGATTTCCAGGGCCTTACCTGCCAGCATCTTGTGGACTGGAGGGGTGACGTCCACTTCAGCCAACTGATCATAGCTGGCAGGATGATAAAGCCTGACCTGGGCGCTCCCTTGGAGGCTGACCCAAATCCCGACGCTGGAGGTCACCAGGCACGTCACACTGCGGGTGCCGTCTTGCCCGACCACAAATGTGTGCTGGGAAAGAGAGCAGAGAGACCTGGTTGATTTCTCATGAAGATACTCGCCTCCTTTACGAGAACGTCTCAACAGAACGGAACGGAACGGAATGGAATAGAAAATATGGAATGGAATAAAATAGAAAATATAGAATAGAATAGAATAGAATAGAATAGAATAGAACAAACAAAGTTGGAAGGGACCTTAGAGGTCTTCTAGTCCAACCCCCTGCTCAGGCAGGAGACCCTGTACCAGGGGTAGGCAATCTTGGCTCTTTTATGACTCGTGGACTTCAACTCCCAGAATTCCTCAGCCAGCATGGGGGAACTATGGCCCCTTCATGACTCGTGGACTTCAACTCCCAGAATTCCTGAGCCAGCATGGGGGAACTATGGCCCCTTCATGACTGGTGGACTTCAACTCCCAGAATTCCTGAACCAGCATGGGGGAACTATGGCCCCTTCATGACTCGTGGACTTCAACTCCCAGAATTCCTCAGCCAGCATGGGGGAACTATGGCCCCTTCATGACTCGTGGACTTCAACTCCCAGAATTCCTCAGCCAGCATGGGGGAAACTATGGCCGCTTCATGACTCACGGACTTCAACTCCCAGAATTCCTCAGCCAGCATGGGGGAACTATGGC